TCATTTGGCGTGATTCAGTCGGCATCCCCTTTCTGCACGTAAACAGTCCGTAAGAGTAATTTATATCATTTCCCTCAATTACGTTCTTTTCAGCGAGGATGCATGTCAGTGGGGGTGACGGGATGTGTCCAGTCCGATATAAGTAAGTTATTTGACTGTGGGGAAGCTAATTGAGTTGTGGTTTTTGGGCACTTCTTCACTTGCGTTGATTGACTTTTGTGTATGTTTGTTCTGGGAAATAATACGGCTAATGTAGAGACGACAGCACATCAAGCTAGAGTAGAGCATATTATGTTGGGGATAAGGGCGATTTTGCTATAAAAATGTATAGATTTTCTAATGTGCTGTCGACTGTACGATAAACGTCTAATGTACCCTTATTACAAAAACAAAACATTTTTACAGCCCATCACAAATTCCGATAAGCACAAAAGTGCTCATAAAAGCAAAACGTTATTGACTTTCTTTACCTTGTTTTCGCTTTGTCTTCCTCATTTGTTATTTCACCCATCTTTACACCGTGATTTGAGTTCAAAGCGTTAATTCAACAGATTTTCGGATTTCCTTCTCCTGTTACTGTCAGTATATTTGTATTTGATTCAAGTTCGCCGCACTCCCCCGGGCGTTGGATTCGCATCGAGGGGAAGGTGAGCTTAATTAGGAAATAATGCCTAAGCGATTAATCACAATACCCCTGCATGTGGAACTCCACAGACTTTTAAAGATGGCGCCCTAATCGTGTGGTCTCAGAATGATGTCTAGGGACAAGGAGCGGGACAGTCACCTCCACTAGACCAGAAACCGTCACGGTTCGTTTCACACCACCTTACGTATTTGCGTATTGTTGTAAAAGTCAAAGGTGACTCGTCAAGGGTTAAATAAAACCGTATTTTTCTCTTTGAGTGTTTTATTTTGCGCGGGTAAAAGGATTTTTGTAAGGTTGACAGAAATAGAATTAAAAGGGTCCGCGCACTTGCAAAAGTTCTTTTTGTTCAGTCCTTTTATCGTCGTATTTTGAAGGTTTTCATAATTTACTGGCTGCTTAATAATGAGTTAGTTAGACAACCAGAAATTCTAGTACAGAAAGCAATTAACCACAAAGCTATTTATCACTCCTTTATTATTAATGAAACCCGCAATACGCCACGAAAAGCGGTTGTTACGAATTAAGTGAACATAATTGGTAATACAAAACCGAACGGGACCGTTATGGAACATACAAATTTTCCGCAAACCCTTTAATCCTCCGCTCGCTTATTTCACTTGCCCCTCGTTGGCGCATTTGCCCAGTCTCCCCTCACCCCACAGTTGATGAAATTTCGACGATGCCTCAAGGTACTGACTGTAAAATTCATGGTAAGCTTTTGATGCGATGTTTACATAATACAGCGCAGGTGTAGTTATTTTCTTTCGGTAAATTGAGCCCGAGGGATTAGCAGATGTACGCGACATTGTCTTATTAGATTGTAGCTCGGTCGGGCCTGAACACAGACAGTGACAGATAGCTAAATTATACATACAAAATAAAATCGTAACGAAATTTTTCGTAGTGAATTTCATAATTATCATTTTACACGTTTTTGCAATTCTCTCTCTCCTGCCTTAAATATTGCTTCCAATTGCAAGTTCAAACATTATTGGAAGATAACAATTATCAAGCATGAATGAAGCTGATATTTTTTTCCTTTACTAGCTAAATAAATCTAGCCCCAATGCCACGTTCCTCGTGAGGATTCAATACAAACTCCCCCAAGCAATTTGCATATAAGGAAGAGTCCTGAAACCTACTTTTATTATGAATCCATACCGCCCCGCCATCCCTCTGAGAATTTATTTTCATCATAACTTTATATTGTAAATCAGTACAAATCCACTTGGTTGTATTTCCCTCATATGATACACTAGACAAGCTATTTGTGGCCGCAAATTGAGGCGGTTTATAAAAAGTTTGTTTTCTTTCAATTTAGGTAGGTACGAATATTTTCATGGTTTTGTCATAAAAGTGATGAATAAACAAAAACATTCACTTCAAAGTTTGTATTAATCTATCTATTAGTGGCAACTTTAACTTACAGTAGCCTAAAAAGCACCTAGGTATTTAGCCGAAACAAAAAAGTCAAAAAGTAAGATCCAACCTTATCATAAGGCTTAGGTAGGATATGAGTTCATTGCTAGACCAAATGTTCTAGTCAAAACAAAAATCAAATCTAGAAGAATACTTGAAAATTGAAAGCTAATTGTGTACCTTGATCATCCATTAAAAAGACCATTTTATTAAGCGAGTTGTAACTTGTAACAATCGACATCTAACATTAATTTGCATCTTCTTTCAAGCTACCTAGATATAAATGTAGATTTACTAATAACATGAAAAACTTTTTTGCATCAAAAGAAAAGAAAAATTGCGATAATGACTATTTCTTTTCATTTTATTGTGAGTACGTCGTATTGTACGAGGCCGCAGGAATACTACGAGGGGTCCATACTACGCGGGCTGCATACTCAACTAGCCTATCTAGCACATCAGGCTTTACATATTTGGGAAATCTATTACAATTGAAGAAGATGATGCAGTGTAAAGCTTGACGTGATAACGTCTGTATAAAAAGTTCGATGCGCCTCTATAAAGGATTTCTTGTATGTATAACAATTGCAATATACGACTGTTTGTTGGTCCAAATCTTACTTTTATGAGGCTGTTCGTAGAAATGACTGTGTTCGTGATAATCTTCAGCGAGTGTATACCTAAATTCTGTGCTGTGATAAAAATAAGAAATACTTATTAAACCTCAATAACGAAAGTACGTAGGATTTTTAGCTTAGCAAACCGCTGGTAATACTAGGTATTATTTTGATGATTCCTTGAATAATATTCAAAATAGTTTGTCTTTGTCTGTAATAGAGCTATGGCAATCCTGTATAACCCTTGGAATTTTCATAAAAATGCTGCCACAGTTGACGTCATTTTTATAGGTAGTTTTTTAAAGCCAAATTACAAATCGAATAATGCCACCTAATCATGAATGATTTGTACTGTTTTTAAGATCTAGCTTAAGGATTATACATATAAGAATAGGTAGAGTCCGGTCCCCTACTGCAATACTCAATTGATATTCTGCAGAAGTAGATAACCTATTAAAGTAACCAAAGGCAAAGAGAGACCTTTGAAGATAGCCCTGCAACGAAGCCGACCAACTCTTTAATTAAGTCTCTTGAAATTTATTCAGAGCCACGTGACGTGCTACTTAATAACGAAGACATAGCCTAAATAGATCAGCACGCTTTCTTTTGTAGTATACAATGACTGAAAGACAATGATACCCACTGTGGACGTTGAAAAGTGGTCGAAGGTCGAGCGATCACAATGAACTCTGAATACTTTAAGAAATAGATCCTTCAACTACCTTTTTAACCTTCTATTTACCTAGAAACTAGCATTTTTAAGATGTCTAAAGTATTAAATTTGTTAGAACAAGTAGGTAACAAAGCTTTCAAATTGCAAAACTGCATAAAATTACTTTCTTAAAATTCCCCATATTCACTACTCAGCAGCGAGAAAGAGATAGAAGTCAGCAATAGAACAGCTAAAGAGTCAATTATGTATTTTGAAAGTTAAATAAAATCCCATTCACCTTCTGCCTGATCATCGCTTTCCATCAGATGAGAGAGCTTCCTCGTTGTGGAGAAAAAATCTACTTCGTTAACAGTAAAATCTGAGAACTGTTGTATTTTTGCTAGGGGCATTACTCACACTTGGTGGTCGACTCATTTGCTAATTGCATTTGGCTAAACCGTACGGGATTCAACACATTTCACTATCTAAATACTCCCTGCTCCACATCGTATGTGCTAAAATGTTTTTAAAATAAACCAGCGTGTGTTTTTAGATCGCTAAGCAAATATTTATAAAAGTCAGATGTACTCAATATTTTTGTTTTAGTACAGTGTTTAATTGACTAACTTTATTTACCCTAAATTGTTCAACATTTCGCTTGCAAAGTTTGCACACTTTCCTTAACAAACATGCATTTATTTTACATGATAGTAAACCAACCAACCGTGGGTATCTAGCTCCATAGTAATTTTTGTATTTCCATTTACAATTTATCTAATTTAACCTCAGATTGTTTTGTCTTTGGCGGGGTTCCCACATAAGATAATATTGCTCAGCTTATTTCAAGTTTTTCTAATTTCTACAAGACACTTCTTAATCTTACACATAGTCATTTTCTCGGAAAGTCTCTCTGTCTTTATTTTAGTAACTCAAGTGCAGCCTTATCTTTCGGTAGTGTAGATATACATCGGGCTCGAGTGGCGGCGGCTATTCACGGGAGCACGTCTCGTTACGGCGGGATTTCAGTTCTAGTGTCGCGCTCGCGGCTCATTCTGCTTAGGAACACCCTTATTACTCCTGCTTTTGTTTCTCGTGTGAACATTGGCAGGCACTGGAGCTTTACTGACTGACTTTGCAGATCTTAAGTAACTATAAGGGAACAGCCATAGTTTATTACGCTGATATGGCTACATTGTACGCAGTTATCAGTCTGATCCTTAGGTCTATCTTTTTTCTTCAGACTAATTTAGTTGTAGGGTCTAATAATAATTACTACTTTCCTTTGAAACAAACTTGATCTTCACTAGTTAAACTAGTTTAGATGTTAGGCTGTACTGTAGACTATGCCGGCTACGCAAGATTCATACCAAGTAAACCGAGAAAGTATCTCAATATTTTGATAGCTTAATATTATGCCTTAATTCGACGTTTCTAAAATAATGTATTGACATCACATTTTAGTTTGAAAATTATAAATTATAATTGAGATGCGACTCCAAACGCTAAAAATTTAATAACTATCACATTTTAGCTCAAGAATAATGTATATTACAACAACATAAGATGACATGACACTGTATTTATTTCGATGTGCAGTCGTCCATGTAATCTATTTTGATATTGAATGAATCAAGGATTTTACTTATTATGAATTTTCTTTTCCCAGGATGCTCAGCGCAGACCCTCAGGATATTCCCAATGCAGACACACCAGACCGTGGCAGTGGGCAAGTCTGTGGTGCTGACCTGCCAGGCCGACGCGCCTGATCCCTCGCTCGTGACGCAGCCTCAGTGGAAGGACCCTAAAGGACTCGTCATCAACGATGCCACGTGAGTAGCGAGGGTTTTCACTGCTGAATAAGTAGACTTGATATCATACAAAACTGACAAGTAGTTTTGCAAATCTATCAACAGTATACAGGGTGGCCCAAAAATCTGTGTCAAGCCGAAGCCAAGAGGTAGAGCATCACTAGGGCCAAACTATCAAAAATCGCGGAACATACATGGGGGTGATTCGGATAGCCCTAGTGACCTCTGGGCTTCAGCTTGACACTACTTTTTGGGACAACCTGTATAATACTATCGATAGTTTTTTTTCTTCTTTTATCATTTTACAATAAAAGTTTGTAGACAATAAATAGTTAATACATTTTATTGCATTGGCATAGACCACTGAGGTTTGTCTGCAATGCTAGTTTAACCTATCGTCGGTAGTTTTTCTAATTTAATATTATGGCTATGATAGTATCGATACTATCGATGGCTCTATCAATATTGTTAGTTTTTCAAGCCACGATGGCATCTTAAAACTGCACAATTAAGAAGCTCCTAAATATTTAGGACTACAAGTTTTAGAGTATAAGAGTAGTTTCAATGTTCCCTTCTCCTCACAGATCTGGCACGCGACCAGAGATCTACACTGAACTGCTACCGACGAAGCAGTCCCAGCTGCTGTATATTTCCTCCATTACCCAAGCCATGGCTGGGAACTATACTTGTGAAGCGGCGTACACTAATATTCCCATGAGCGCTAGCGTCGTTTTGGAAACGTTTGGTAAGTAATCCTTTCTAATATCCGTAAAGTGATACTTGCAGGTCTCACATTTTATACCGTATTTTATGGAGACTGACATATTTATAGTTGGCGAGAAAACACTACCTTGAATTTTTCAATTGAATTTATTACTACTGTTACTGTAAGTTAAACGTGGTTCAACTGAGTATATTGGATGCTCACCTAGATTGAAAAAGCATGTCAAAGGTCTATCTCAATATTTCAAGTTGTTTATCTTTGTTTCAGTTGCCATTACATGGACAAACGCCAACGAAAACCAATACGCGACGAAAGGAAAGGACTTCAAAGTTATGTGCGAAGTGACTGCCAAACCCGCGCCATCAGTAGATTGGTTCAAGGAAGGAAATTCTGTAAGTGAATTAGATTTACGCCAAAATAACAGTCTTATTTCCGTTAACATTAGTGCTAAATGTAAATTGTTTTTTAGATTACAACTGGCGAAAGGTATGTCATTCACGCAAATGGATTGATGATCAAGAACGTTCAGGAGAGTGACGATGGCACGTACACTTGTCGGGCAGTCGTAATTCCCACTGGAGAGTTGGCTGAAAGAAACATTAAATTGGAGGTTAGATATTCAATAAACTTACACAGATATTCCTTTAATCGTATTCATAATCAACTCAATAACTAATTTGTAATTTCTTTAAGGTCTATACTGCTCCAGAAATGGAAGAACGTGAAACTAGGGTAGAAATAAAAGAAGGAGAGTCAGCTGCTATTACTTGCAAAGCCAAAGGCAAGCCCCCACCAACTTACACATGGATCAAGGCTGCTACGCGCGAGGTATACACAATACAATTATCGTTATTGCTTACTAATTGAACTACTTACCTCGTGTCTGTTCAAAATCTAAATATCCCCATCTTCACAGAATTTGGCTACCACCTCGAGATTCAGCGTTAATGAGATCACTGGTTTGCTTACATTTGACCGAGTTGAAGCTGGAGATTACGGCAAATACATTTGCAATGCTGTCAATCAAGCAGGCCAGAATGAGACTGAGATCGAAGTGGAAGTTCTAGTCAAACCAAAGATATTCGAACTCTTTAATATCACAGCACCTGAGAGGGGTGAAGGCAGATTGGAATGCAGGGCTACTGGAAGGCCTGCACCGCGTATGAGTTTCAGGAAACTGAGCAATGCTGAACCGTTTACAAATGGACCTAATGACAACAATAGGTAAGTTAAAAATTCAATGAGATATTGTTACGGTCATTGAAACAAAATATGTTAGTTATTAACCCGTAACCTAAAAAGATCATGGTGATCATGATGTTTTTTTTTAATCTTTTAGGATCACCGTTGAGACCACTGATCGCCAAACTGGAGACCAGATGCAATCCAGTGCTGTTATTACTATTTCCAACCTTAACAGAACAGACGATGGCTTATACGAATGTATTGCTGAAAACGATGGTAAGTAGTTATCAAACTACATAAAACTAGATATAGCTGTTAAAGCTATTGAAAAGATATAATATAACTCTAATAACATTTCAGGTGGTGAAGCAAGAAAGAATGGCCATTTGACTGTTCAATTCAAACCTTCCTTCGAAAGCATGCCTAAGGTGCCAATCTGGAGTTGGAATGGTCAACCTGTGAATATTACTTGCATTGCTGAGAGTATTCCTAACGCCACAATTAAATGGAGGTAGTTATTCTTTTGTTAATTTATTAATTAAAAAAATAATAATTATACAAACTTTTTAATAATACCGTTGTCCCAACTTTCAGGTTCCAAGAATACGATCTGGTTGAGTCTCCTCAAGTGAAAATATTTGGTTCTGGTCCCATCAGCTACGTCACAGTTATTCCTACCGATCGTCAACTGTATGGAAACTATAAATGTATCGCTACCAACAGTCTTGGTGAAGCTGAGCACATCACTCAGTTGAGGGAGGCTTTCCCTCCAGGTCCTGTCGTGCAGGTAAAATATTAATGGCAAACTTTCTTAGTAAATAATTCTAACGATTGATTTTCTCATACTCGTAATAAAGATATTCAATATCAATTTATTGCGTTCCCGAAAGTTATGAACGTCATCTTCTTAGAATAAATATATTTTTCAATATTATCTTCACAGGCACGACAAGAAACGATCACAGCAACATCTGTATCCTTCGGCATTGTAGGCCCCGCTGAGGACATGGGTCCCCCAATTCTGGCTTTCACCACCCAGTACAAAGAGAACAACAATTTCGACTGGAATCTGGCCATGAACAGAACTTGGTCCGTCAACTCTCCGTACATTGTGGAGAACCTCCAGCCAATGTTCACTTACGACTTTAGGTTCGCTGCCGTCAACCAGGTCGGAGTCGGCTCTTGGGGTGCCCCGATTACTGTCATCATGCCGAGGAGGTAATAATCAAAAATGAATTGAGATCGCCTATTGTTGGCAAAGTAATTGGTTCACGTCAAATTTAAGGAGCACTAACGACTTTGAGAAAACTTTTACTTATTTATAACGAACAGTCTTATAAAAGCATTCATGACATCACATTCCAATAACGTAATTCAAAAAGGAAATCAACCTAATGGTAGTAATACCAATTTCGCATAATCCGAAATCTGTTTAGTTTGCTAAACGTTTGGATTTCTATTACCGTGAATCGCATAAAATCTAATGGAATCATTTATTTCAAGGTCGGCCCCAGAACAGCCGAAGTGGAGAGAAGCGATAAGCTCCGAATCGCTTCTACATGGCAAATACGCAGACAGATTTGAGCTAAAATGGAAAATTCCCGCTCACAACGGGGAACCCATTGACCTGTATGAAATAACTTATTGCCCGGTAAGTCTTGGCTTCCATTTTTAGATTTAGATTCGAGCGTTTCTAAGATTTATTCATGAAATCACTTGAATAATTATTGATATCGATGAATAGAACGAAATGAATGAACGAACTAGACGTATATTTTTTTATTTAAGCTCTATAAAAATGAGTGAGAAGTGAAATGAAATTACAAGAAATATTTTCCTGTGCAGGTTATCAAAGTAGTCGGCGAATGGAAGGTCGCGTCAGACGATCAATGCCATAAGGAAGAGCTGAAATCATTCGAGATGATCAGCTACGAACTGCGCGGCCTCCAGCCCGACACTAAATACCGAATGGAGCTGCGGGCTCACAACATCCTGGGCTACTCCATCCCTGCCCAACTGTACGTGCAGACTGCCCTCGGTGAGTACAACCAAGAGAGTAACGAAGTGCCGCTTAGAGCCGGCTTCTACGACGTTTACACTGCCCCCAACCCACTGACTCCAGTATCAGGATCTACCAGAATCACCCATTTCGTCAGCCCCCTCATATTATTCGCATTCTGTTTTGTTTTGTGATTTGTGCAAACTTTTGTAGCGCTTGCAGTATTTTTTACGAGCTTTGTAAAATTTATTTTATTTTTAAGTTCAACTTTTCACCAGTGATTGATTTATATTACTGTCTTTAATTTGATAAGTACAATTTTAGTTTTAAGTCACACCATATTACGACACGAACCAATACTCCACATGTATTTGATTTTTGTATTATTAACACTGTTTGTCTTTTAAACATTTTCATTAATTTTACATTCTTGCCGTTAGTTAAAAAAACCGACTGATATTTTGTAGAGTAACAAATAATTCTGAACAATGTGCAAATTACATAGTAATACTGTGTTCAAATTTTATTTATTACTACACCTGGCATGATTCATCGTTATTATTATGATTTAATTTTATGTTAAGATTTAGGTATGTTTTGGCATTTTAATTTCGAAATTTCGGGCTTATATTTTGTTAGTGTTAATTTATTACCAGTGGTAAGTCTATTATAAATGATTTCTTTGATTTTCTTTCAAATTACATAATAATATTATTTTTATTGTAATTTAAGTATTCTGTGTATTTATCTAATAAATGTTTTCTAGGTAACCCAAATGGAAGTACACGCAATTTCAAATGGGCTCACACTAAAATGGATATATTAATTGCCATATTTATTACAATCTTCATCTAAGCAACAGAGTTAATTAGAAACAGAAACTTTCACAAATCTAAAGATGACTGTTGTTATTTAGAAAAAATACTCGTTGTGATAAATATTTGTTGATGTAAATACATTATTATAAGTTGTGGTCTAAAAATATTATAAAATGGTTTCTAAACGATTTGTGTCAAATAAATATACGCCTAATTACATATTATGATAACTTAAAAATAAATAGGTATTATATGAATTTTAAGAATCTCATGTTAATTTGAATTTAGGAATCAAGATTATAATTTAAGTTAAAAGAAATAATGATAATTTATGAAACGTTACGTAAACACATTGTAGTTAGATTATCGGCTAATAAATTAACACTGCCAAAGTATAAAGTCATAATCTAGTGTTAATAAAATTATGCCAAAAATTATGGCATGCGACATGACTTTGACATTCTTAGTGAATTGTATAAAAGTTTTGAAAACTTGTGTAAGACTTTTTGATGACTATTTTGTCCTTTTGATATAGAATAATGAATTAGGATATTGTCTCAAGGAGAGAAAGTCGTCCAGATAAAGAAATGTACCTGTAAGAAGGCAAGAGAAATACGATTTGTTGTAAGATGCGGGCTAATGTAAGAGTTAATTAGTAAAGAATTCTATGTCAACTGAATTCAATTGTGATCTGTTTTAAGACGAGATGAAATTGACCAATGTGAAAAGTAATAAATGTTTTAAAAACATGTCTGTATATTTATAACGAAAATGGATGAAGTATAACTTTCAGGAATACCAGAAATTGGTTAATTATTTGGAAAAGAATATTTTGTCCATTTTTCCAATCAGTGTTTCCTCTTGAACCCTAAATTGAATGATATATTGGTTTAAGAAACCTCTGCCTGATGTACTAAATTAATTATTAACTGAAAATTCCTAAAAAGAAAGCTGTCAAGATGCTTATCAAGAGACCAATCCATTATCCCTATTAATGTTGCTCGAAAGTGTGTTTGTGTCGCCCTGACTGAGATTTGGGTAAATATATTTTATATTAATAATATTCTACATCCATTAATGAACTCGCTATATAGTTTCCTTTGGAATGTACTAATTACCTATGCGCTGCATGATCTTATGTGTACACCCTTCAAAATAATGGTATATTCACTATCCCTCTAGCATGGTCTATAAGTAAACTAACTACGATTGAGGTAAAATATATATTTTACAACGTTATTCTATAGACCCGTCATATTAGATGACTCTAGAATTTTTCTATTAGTTTTTGTTACCTAGATGTTCCCATATTTATTTTATTCCAAGCATGATAAAGAGCCCAATTATTTATAGGTTAAGGATTATAACAATAAATATTAGTATCTAATTAAATAAATCACTGCATTATTCGCAGTATCTCATTTATTTAAATTTTTATATAAGATTTTTAAGTAGCACCTGAATTGTTTCTTTAAATGACATTATTTTGAAATGTATTTGCTATGTAACGGCAACGAACAATTGAAATACATGTTATAGAAATTGCGATAGCTGTAAGTACTTTTCGCCCTTCGTTTTATTTTAAAACGACTTCAGATAAATTACCTCGGAATTTGCCTTTCCTATTTCATTGTAAAGTGCAAAGTAAAAACCACCACCACCACTTTGGGTACGAAATTAACTGATTCATTCTTTGAGTGACTATATCAAAAAGAGTGTCCAGTAATTATATGTTATTACTGCCTCTAAAATTTTAGATTAGTCACTACCGTTCACATGCTTGAATGATATGGCATGTTTTAAGGCTTGGTCTCTTTGACAGCTTTCGCGATTTTGACTTTTCTTTGGTTCGTTGTCGGCAACCTACGCATATTGCTATCATTTCAAGAAACAATCTATAATTTTATTTATAAGTTACAATCCTAAACTAGGAATATTAGGATAAGGTGATGGTTTATAGATATTCCATCAGTGTAGCACCCTTGATGTTGTGAAATACTATTTTGTACCTCTAGATCCCCATACCGCTTGAATAGTTTCGAATTTTGTCATGGGGTTTGAACATTATTATTTTTTGTTTCGATAAAGTTATTTGGAATGTTTGCATCTTGACAACTTTTCTTTTTATATCATTATTACTGATTCTAATGTTATTGTTTATGCATCATTCATGTCTTTCATTTCCATAATTCTTCATTTTCATTCAAACCCCATTTCATTTCTAGCGGAGAGCTTTCTATCTGAAACTATTTATCCTTAAATTGTTGTTCTATCTTAGCTATACCTAGCAATTGTATTATTGGTGATTGGGTGCACGTTTATCGAATTGAAAGCACTCCCTATAGTCACCCAGAAGATTGTAATGAATGTTTAACTGTTGCTTATGAAGGTTCTGATAATTCTTCTAAATCCACTTTCCGACACGCACAAGTGCTGAATCTGCATTTGTTACAATCACTGTCATGTCATCTAACATCTTCAGCTTCTGTGACATGATGCATAAAACTAACAGTATTAAGAGCAGTAGAAACTACATCTTTGGTAACATTAGTTACTTAGAGCATTTGAAAGATTAGTTCGCTGTTTCCGCTGCTCTTATGTTCTAAAAGTTTTGAATAACTGTTTTTACAATAAGATCTATGTCTACAGGTGTGAAAAGCTCTGGATTTGCTCCGCCTCAACTCCTGTCCAGTGGCGCCATCATCGGAGTGGCTTTGGCCGGTGTTTTCATCTGCCTAGTCATTGTAGATCTTATCCTCTTCTGCTTCAAGCGCCAGGGAGTCATTGCCACTATCTGTGGCAAACGTGCCAAGAAGCACGAAGACGACGAAGCCAAATTGGGAAGGTAATTTGAAACTTATCTATTTTAACATAAATGTCATTTTAATACCACATTTAAGCACATCATCGACATCATAACAATGATCAATTTCTGTTCCCACCCGTGTCTTCCCGTTTTTGTTGTCCTGTTTATAAGTGTTAGTGTCGATGAGAGATGTTTCTGCCCGCTAGTCTGTACGGTTGGCGCTTCCCGCTCCCTTATTGCAGCACGAAGCCGCGAGCGCCTCCGTCCCCCGCGCCCCTGCCGCCACCCGTCAAGCTCGTGCCGACCCCGACGTAAGGCACCACACTAGACTGCCCGCATGCTTTGTGCATACAGCATCCGTTTGGCCCCACCGAAAGACCATAAGTACTCTTTGAATCCGCTGGGGATGATGTAAATATGCTTAGCGTTCGCCTCGTGTACATGCAGATAGACAACGTGCTTTGAGAACACGTAGTTAGAAGTGTGAAAGTCAATGTAAGCTTCCCTTTTGTAAATGAAAGTACAAACTCAGAATTCTCAGCGAAAAAGAATTCAAGCGTACGCGCCTCGTTCTGATTTGGATTGTAATACGATTACACTCTTGATCAAGTTCTGTTCGCCTGGAACATCTCTTACGGCATAAATCACCGTATATTTTATTAGAATTTTCTACCTGACGGTATTTTTTCGGTATCTATTTGTGTTTGTATTTATTTTTTCCTGTGTGTTTTCGTTTGAACTGTTTTCATGGAGTTGGGTCACTGTAATTTAATTCATCAAATTATTCATAGCACAACCACCACTAACAATATTATTATCTCTTCCCCACGCTGCCTTTCATCGGTCACATATAGCTATGTTCCGACCACGCCAGTGTAAGATATTTTTACATTACCTTTCCTAGTGTACATATTTTCGTTTGCAGCATTCACTTTAAGCATTGTTTGTTTTAACTGCTTCTGTGTGACTAGTTTCACTGAGTGAGCAAATAAGGGAATGCTGAATAAAAGAAAGAGTAGCGTTAACTAAGTTATTCCTTTATTTGTTCGCTTGATGGAATTGCGCTGTGAACTCAATTTAAATATTTGCAACATTTTTCGCTTTTAACTTTGTTTTCGAGTGTTTAATAATAAATGTACTTTTTGTTTTACTTTTGGTTAAGTAGATATTGTGTAATAAATTATGTTGTGAACAGTGGTAATGAAATCCTAATTTTACCTATTACATAGGAATTTTAACATTCGGTTTAAATTCAAGATTTTCCTAAGTAAGCTGTCGGTAATCATTAAACGAAATTATAACCTAATCATTCCACTAATTCAAAACTGAACCACCAATTGAAGTTCAAGAAGTAGGTCAATCTAGGATTTGATCGCCACTGTTAAAGACTGGTGCCTCAAGACAACGCAACATTCGATAAAAAATACTTTTCCATAAAGTTGCGTACATCAACTATTTTGCACATAATTTGGAACTCTACAATCTTGAATCGTTTCCGAAGGTTAAATCATTGTCTTTTGGCAGGTACATGATATGTATAGAACAAAGTAAAGCTTGTAGATAAAGGACACCGTACAATTGTACCCTATTTGCAGGTGAAAAGGTGGATTTGTAATATTTAGCTGTAATCAAGCTGTAAATACCGCTTCCCAATTACCTAATAAGGCCATTAACAAGATGTATTTCTGCAGAGATGAGAAGGAGCCACTAAAGGACACATCAGACGATGCCATAAAAAGGAACTCGTCAGTTGAATTCGACGGACGACGCGTGTACGCCACGAGTGGGGGACCAATCATAGGCAAGAACTCGGCCGTATAAACTAATCATAGAGATGAGGCCACTCTTTTGTTGAACCGTGTGTCCACTAGCAAGGAACATTTAGTTTTGCGAATAGGGAATATTAATTCCAAAATTCTCTAGCCTAGGCACTTCGTGATGGAATGGATATTTGGAATCTCGTGACATCAATTGACATGATCAAACAGCACGCAACATCTCATGGTAGTTAGTAAAGACGCGTGTCATATGACGTCATGGTCTGCTAATTCCATCCAAAGTTTTACAGATTAGAAATTATCGTTTATATTTTAATGTTCCTTATTAATTTTCAAAATACCTACAACCTTGCTTATCGTAGCATAAATGGGACACTTCTGAGAACAGCAATCAGAAATATATTCTCATCGGTATTTTTTCTGAATAAATGAACACACATTTCTTGCACAGTGGATCCACGGCTTTGGAACCTCGAAAACGTATGATGTATTATGTATAATCGGATGTAACTGAAGTCTTACGAGTATAAAAGCTTGTGTATTTGTGATGAGCGCGACCAGCCAGTATTCGAAACTGCCAAAAGAGAATTTACACTTTATTCACGTCTACACACATAATCAATATTTCTATCTTCTAGACCTACTTTATTTAAGTTGATAATTTTATCACCTGTTATATTTGTATTATTCTCTGGAACAAGGATCTATGAGCTAAAAAATTTCATAGAAATTAAAAATATAGCGTTCACTTTCTTTCGATGATATTTTTAGAGTTCTTCCAAAATGCAGGTGATAAAATTGACAATCTATATGAACTGCTGCTGCAGTTTTTATATGTATTTATCATTATCGTATCCATATCTATCCGTTTAGTTTCTACGCAAACGCTGCTTCTGAGGTACAGGATGTGCCTTCTAGTGTATTTACTTCTTAATGAGGGTATAGTATAGGCTAGTGTATATAAACTATGTAAAATAAAGCTACGCTCACGTCACAAGTTGCTAAGTTATTAACATCACTTTATAAATATCACATTATTGATCACCCATTTCACTTTGTTGATGATCACCGTTGATTTTAATCATATGCTCTATGTTTTCTTCCATGACCTCTATCACAGTTACTTTTATGTTATTTGTATCGATACCTCGATCGTATAGTTCCTTAGATTATTTACTATCTCTGTGATGATTTTAACTTAGTTTATTTCCCTTTCCACCTAAATTTCCTCAAGTACCTACGTCATCAGTAGGTACATTACTATGTATTGAAATTCTATTAGGCTGCATTAGTCCCGATATTTACTTGGAATGCATAATTTATCGTTTAGTGTTTAGCATTTCAATTGCCTAAAATGCATAGTTGTTTGGTTTGACGTAACTCACGTTTTAGATATAAGGCTTGTATATAACACATTTGTAAATACCATACTTTATGTTCCCTTAAGTTTTTAGTATCATGCATTAGGATAGTTATTTTTAGAAAATCGAAGCATTTCTCATAATTTAAGGAAGATTCGTTAAAGTCATTTAACATTATTATACACTATTGATAGTTTTATATTTTATTACGAAGATAAGTTGCCGGTTACGAAGAAAATGTTTGCTTATACTAAGCTACCCATAGGTTAAGTGTACTATTTAATTTTATATTTAAATGTTCTCGTAGTATTGTGTCCTTGATATTTCCCATATGAATAAATATAATTATTATATAACAATTTTATACCGTTATATAAAACTTTAGATACTTGCATATTCATATTTATTGCAACACACGTTTATATTTTTGTATACGTCGCTTGTATTTCATATGTACAAATGATATTTACACAATAACTACACTTTATGAATTTGATACTACTTAAGTACGAATCGAAGTGCCACCATTTACTAGGGCTTAAAGTCATACTTAGTTATGTACTTAAATGACATACTTAATCACAAAATAAATAGATCCTAGTCTCACACTTCCAAGATAGCTTCAAAGTTTTACGCTTTTTTAATTCAATAAAAATAATAAAGCGAAAAATTTTAAAATTGATTCTCACACTAAATTACTGGACTATCAAAACACCACTACACACTTGTTAACAAATACCCCAGAAAGGCTGTGTTATTTGCTTGACATTACATTGAATATCGTCTGCCGTTGTGTGACATAAAATAAGATGGCATTTCTTAAAATCTGGCTAAAAAGTACGAACTGCTATCTGTATCTTTTTAATCTTGGAATATTCACTAAAACGTATCGCAACATGTATTGACTTGAACAATTTATTAAAGACATCATAAAAAAACTGTTCTGTTAATTAGTGAAAACAACTAAAGCCGAACACAGCCTAAAACAAAATTGTATTATTTTGATTTATGATTTTATCGTTAGTTACGATTTGACCTCACGTTTTGGGACCCTTTAATTTGTCTCAAATGTGAATACCCATTTTTGGAAAATTGTTTAATGCGGAAAATGTTAAGCATTTATGTGAAAGCTTGAATGTTATTAATATAGGATGTATGTTAAGGAATTTTCTATCAGCTTACGAAGGGGGAGAAACCGTATAGAGAAACGCATTTTTTATAAAAATAAATGTGTCAAGAAAATTTTATAACTTTCATTTTGTCAATCCCACCACTCTTAGTATACCTACAGATATTGAGTCATAAAAACCATAGCAAAAGACAACACAAATATGACCTTCTTTCCTTATTCGTTATTATTTTTGAAATCTTAAATTGTCTTACTTTGAAACTTACATGTGCAGAAATAAGAAGGCACAAACTGCACCTTATAAATGAACATGAAAAACTTACATGGCAAAGCTCTAATTAACTTTACATTAGAGACGAAATTTAAAAAAACATTAGTACGCTCCATTAATCCTAATTAGACCAATAACAAGTTATTAAGGTAGGGACGCCCAAAAATTTGTCGACAATAGCATGATTTATACTCGTTAGCAGAAAACTTTGTGCTATGATACGCTATTTAACATTTTATTGTGAGCTTTGTGAAGATGCGTAGGGGCACATACAGTTCGGTTAACAATAGGCCAAAAGTTGTGCAACAACGTTTAGGAGCATATTAAATTGAGGTGTGGGGTGGAAACTGTACAGAGGGGTCGGTGGTATTAAAAACTTCTTCCCTTCGAATCAAATGGGACTTGCCATTTCGTATTTATAATATTCATTGGCCGTAAGATCGCATTCGAAGGTATTAAAGTACAGAAAAAGAAACCACGTGACAAAAATTTTTTTAGGCTATTGAAACCTATGGTTGAGTTGTTTTTTTTTTTCACAAACACATGTTTGACATTTACGCCCGTATGCACAAACATTACTATGAGTTCTCACAGTGCGCGTTGACGCACAGGGTGACACACGAACCAATCACAGATATCTATTCAACGCTGTGCGTTCAATTTGCTGCTTCACTTAAGCAAGCACCGTTTGTGAATACGGGCGTTAGTGTCATTTAAGTAACTTACACGCCAACTATTGGGTGTAACGCGTGAGATAGCAATTGTCAATAAATGCTGCCACGATCAAGCTGTCTGTAGACGGAGGCTGAAGAGGGAGACGACAACAATAAACTCCACTAAATGTAAGAACCACCAATTTTTATCATTGACATTAATGCTGAACTCCATCCAAAGTAACAAGGAACGTACCATTTCGCCTAAGTAACAGTCGATGTCCTATGCATCGACGTATCGAATTATTAACTACCAAAGGGGCAGGAGCATAGAGACACAGTTAAAGGAAACAGTAGGATACCTTCATACTAGCATATTAATTTGGCATACTTAATAAACATCTGTCTACCAAAGCAACTCTATTTTACCGTACAACTAGGAAATCTATTTTGAAAGCATTGTATTCTAAAAACTTGAAACTTGCAAATAGTATTCGAATCTCCACACAACTCTCACTGGATCACAATGATCCTCCGTTTCCAGGTCCCCTCGTAATTAGTGTAATAATTAAATGAATGTATTTGTATACTTATTACGCTAGTTCTTTTTACATATTTTTCACGGATTTAAAATCAACATCCCTATTCTAGTAGGTATAAAGATGTTCTACTAAGGATTCTTTTTGACTATGATAGAGATTTGTCCTCGTGGACGCGTAGCTTTGCAACAATGTGCTGCCATTGCGGCAAAAGCGTCCTGTCACGATTAGGGCCGGGCCATTGCGGTTTAATACGTTGAGGTTAGGTCACAATCACATATCCTGCCCCAAATTTAAGAGCTAATTTTGCACTAAATGCTTTAATTTTGAAAATATGTAATTATACCCATCTTACAAATTCAAACCTCTGAAATTAGTTTAATAACTTTTAAATTAGATAAGTACTACTTAATTCATTATAGATCTTAACTATAGTATCTTCAAAAATCAAAACATCACGAAAAGGGTCGCTCATTTAACATGGAACCTACATGCTTCATTATTTTTTGTCCTTCCCGCAGTAGAAGAACCTTTACCTGGAAAACCTGTGAGTAAACTGAGAATATTCAGAACCTGTATTTGCAAGACTGAAAATTACTCGTACATTTCCTCGATGTTACATGCAAGTAAGTGTGCATTAGCTTCATACAGTGCAGTCAATAGCTGCACCACATTTGAGGAACAGTCACAATGGCACACCCTGCATTGAGTAATTTATGTGGCCGGCAGGGGCGCATACGTGTCGTATCTTTCGGATGGTGACGCAAGTGATGAATGGCCACGGAAATTTATTGTTTAGATATTTTTAAGGGGTGTTTCGCCGGATATTGGGGTTTGTTTAAAAGCTTAGTAAGGTAGCGAAAATAGAGCATTTTTTTTTTACTTTTACAGTAAAAAAGTACAGACATTTTTCTTTGAAATAAGTGATGCAATTTTTAACTCTATTTTTTCACTGTTTATGATGGATGCTATAGAGTCTATAGTTGGAGATCCCTGCTATAGACCATACTTGTATGTAGATATTTTGATATAAGCGGCCTATTGTCCCGTGCCAAGTTTTGGAAGTAAGTATCTCTTACATTGTATTTTTTTACAATGAAGAATATCTAGATTTAATTGCTATAAATGCTTATGCAAAAATAAACTATGACATCACAGCTATTCACTTACATGAGATTGCAGTATGCTTCTGCATTAATATCACTGTCACCCCACAATAAGCTATGGTTATCGGACGCAACAATTAGGTACCGCACGCGACTACACGCGGTCCCTTTAAATAATTACCCAGCAGATGATACGGATTATCCCCGGAAAGAATATACCCCCACGCAATTTACCCCAAGCATCCAACAAATGGGTCGCGATGAGGCACTACTGTTCCAATTTTGAAAATCAGCGAATTTATGATAACAGTTAATAAGTTAACTCTAATGCATTGATATAGGACCCATTTTAGAATAAACGAAGTTTGATACAATAACAGTTATGTCAGTAGAAAGATTACAAGTCCCTTAAAAAGTTAATTGGTGATGCGCATGATACGTTTTTTTTTTTATCGATATCGACTAATGGCCGTAACATATTTTAATGGCCTACATAATTATCTTTTTCTATCAATTCAATTAAAGCTTTTATATTTTCATTAGTAGCTAAGTAATTAACTGTCGCTTTTTGTGTGTTGTGAATCATTACAAAGACTTACCAAAAACTATCACACTGCGTTTTCGACTTAACCACCAGTTGCTTTTCAAAAACTAAGCCAACTACGAATAAAATGGTATTAGGTACAGAAATTTTAATACCGGTAGTAAAGCCTTTATGAGGTACTTAAGTAAATCGTTGGTACTTAAGTGCGTATTCCGTTTTTAGTGGAATAGTAAAACTCTTATTTCCCGTTTATAACTGCACTGGTTAATCAACCATTTTTTTCTCCTAACTTTTGCTAAAAGGCTACGAACGTAATAATATTTTTTATTGTTAGAAAGTAAAGGAATTTTATTGCTCATTTCATAATCATGCATCAAGTACCTACTAAACATTAGTTATTGGTTTTTATTTATTGTAACAGTTACATAAAATTATAACATAATGCAATGATTAGCAAGTACCAGAATTATAAAAGAAGTTTATTGTTTCCTATCACAGTTTTATAATCTTCCTATAGCCTATCTAGAAGCTAGAATATTTTATTTTTATCTATTCTTCTGTCGATATTCATAGAAATTGAAGTAGTATAGTCTATCCAATATAGCTTGATTAGAATGACAGCTGCCATCAAAAGTAACGACATAACTTTGTAGTAGCGATCAATGAGAGCTAAATATTGGCGGACAAGAAATAATTCACGTCTGTACTACAAACAATATTTTCGACGACAGTGCTTCCAATAAAAATGTGAATTTCGTGTAAATGCAGCGTTAAATTACACCAATAAGCAGTAATTCGAAATTATAAAAATCAAGCTAGAGTATTAACGACGTCTCTACAAGGTTATCTCGAGTTACAAAAATGTTAGTGTTGGGACATATCGACAAATGTCATATTAAATTAAAACTATTTTTTTAACATATTTAACAAATTTTTTTTCTAACTAATTTTTTAACATATTTAAGTCAAGTTATACAGGGTGTTAGGTAAATGGGTATATGAGCCGACACTAGGCCATGTTAACATGGTCATATAAATGGTATGGTGAAGTCAGAAAATTGATATCTTCATTTTAATTATTTTAATTTTCATACAAATCGGATTTTATAAAAAAAAAATTGTATGAAAATTAAAAAAAATAAAGTCATGATATCAAATTTCTGACTTCACCATACCATTTATATGCCTAAGTTAACATGGGCTAGTGTCGGCTCATATACCCATTTACCTAACACCCTGTATGTTTTTCTAAATGTTCACTATTAAAAACCAAAAAACATTTCATTCTTAAATAATCAAACATCGGAAATCAATCACCGGTAATTTTTTGGGGATTCATAGCACCGTTGCTCTAGAAGAGATGCCCACCGCCCTCTAGCGAGAGGAAAAAACCACTGAAGAACACTGATGATAATGACTACGACTTAGGTTGTACACCCTTGACATGAATTTTAAATTTTACTGTCTTTCAATTTAAATCATAATTGTCATTTTTATGAATAAAGATTATGAAGAAAAATTGATTGCATTTTTTTATATAATTTTTTCGAAAACTCTTCGATACATCTATGTGAACCGTACGAAACATACCCATCACTAGTCACATTCGTTTGACAGCCGTCATTCTAATCAAGCTATGTTGGATAGACTATAATGATGATGTAAACTTTCATAAGTTTACACACTTTTGAGTTGAATAGTGATGCACCGTATGCATGAAAGTGAATTACGGACTTTGGGCCACCAAAAAGGAAACTTAACCTCTAATGTGACATACATTACGGTAATTGTGCTCAATCAATTTGCGCCGTATTGACGTCCGACACATTGTCCATCACGTGGGCATATGCTTTACCCCAACGTCTGGCAAGGGTGGCCAAATAGCAGTAAGTGTGAGGTGACTGGACTCACTGCAAGCATTCGCCTGTAACGTAACAATGTAAAGT